TGGGGGGCCTGGGCAGGGACAGGCAGGTCTGGTGGTGCCCTCGGGGCCCCATCAGCTGGCTAGGACTGTTCAGGGCCTTAAAATGGCAGAGAATGCCTCAGTGCATCCACTACGCTCCTTAAGACCTTCTCATGTCATCCAGGTCTAATTAAAGTTCACGTTGGTGACACAGCAAGACACAGCCATGTCTGTGTGTGCCAACATAACCAAAAGAAGGAGAGATGTGACTTGTCCTGGTAGATGGGACAGAGGAAATCTGAGGTTCTGGGAAAAAGTAGCAGCAAGAAGTTCTGACAAAGCTGCCCCTTTATTTACAAGCACACATGTAGGGAGAAATGCTACAGTCACCCACTTTGGACTAAGCCTGTGATTTTCAAATGCGTCTTTATTGATTGGTTGATTTAGCTCAAGTAGTATGAACTTTATTTTACAAGAACCTGCAGCTAACCAACACAAAAAGAATTACCATCATTACCTCGTACAACACTTGGACTAGCGCAAAAACAAAAGTAAATGCCACAATCCAGTTAAAAGAACCATGAAATAACTAAATTAAACTGTAAACTCTACATGTAACAAACGGCTGAGATTAGTCCCACACATGTCACTTATAAACCCAGCAGCGGGAGGGGAGGTCTGAACACAAAACCAAGCACCCCAGGTACCAACTCCTTCTCCCCTGAGCGTGCCTAAGCACGGGCTCATTTGAGACAACACACAACCATGTGCTTGGCAGCACGCACGTGAGCAAGTGGGACAGTGGCAGAGATGCACACCATCTGCCTGCATCTCGTCTTTTACCCTAGAAAGCCTCCAGGGTCTGTTCTCTGCTTCAGAACATTCAGAGCTTCCTAAAATAAGAGACTGATGCAAATTTGCACCCAAAGGATGTGAAAAGAGCCTGATAATTGGAGGAGAGTGGGCCAAAAAGAGAGGACTGAGCACTGCAGGCAGAAACTGAAGTGATCTAAGTTGGCGGGAGGTACAACTCATCCAAACGCGTTTATTCCAGATGAGCACATGATGGAACAGCAAACCTGAAGTTCAGGATGAAAACCTGGGGAATACTAACCCATTCATTTCATCCCCTGTTCCCCCATTTTCTGTCTGTCTGTTATGACTCCTCTGTCTACATCCTTTGTGCTCCCTCCTTTCTCTCCCATTCTTCTGCTACTTCTCATACCACACAGGTAGTGACCTTCCTGCCCCACTACGCTGCCTTCCCTGACCTTCGCACAGTTCTGCCAGTGACTCCCACTTCACACTCCCAGTCTGCTCTTCTGCCTCGTGTACCTCTGTGGAACAACAGTCAGAGAAGGCTGAAACCTGATTTCCTGTCTCCCACAATCAGAGGAGCACTCATCTTGATTTCTTATTCCTGAGAAATGCAGAGAACTGGGATCTAACGTCATGTAAATAGAGCAAACACCCTCAACTTATTTTGGAATCTGCCTGTCTTCTTCATCCTTCTTGTCTTTTCCTCCCTCTTGGTCCCTCCCTTAAATGTAGGAATGTTTACAGTAATTCAGGTCCAGTTCTCTGATTTTTAGATAAAACCCCAGAATTTTCCTGAAAGCTCACTCCCCAAACCCCATCCCTTCATCAGGGTTATGGCAGTTATGGGAAAATCTGCTGTTTGTGCCACTGGGAAGAAACTGCTTTGGCATGACAGCATAAGGCTTGCACAGGACAGTGTCTATCTGGCACCTTTCTAACACCAACACTGGCTTAAAATAAAATAATTAAAAAAAATCTGGAGAGAATCTATTCCCCTTCCCCTTCAAGCACCTCTCTTGTGGCAAAGAGTGGCACTGTTGTCCAATCACAAAAAGCCAGAAAAACACACGTGGGAGCGACTGATTTCTTCCGCTTGTGCATGTGGTGCAAGAGCTGTACACGAATGAGACATGGAAAGGAAGGCTAAACCCACAGGACTTCTGCCATCTTCAGTTCTGCAGAAGATCGGTACAAGGACAACACTGATAGATAATTTTCTGTGTTCACCAATCACAAGACCATTAGTAGTTAGTTGCCTTAATTCACAGCAAGGGAGACTAAAGTCAGGCAGTAAGAAAAGCTCTCTGACTTGTAGGCTACCTAGGAACTGAACAGACAACCTCAGCAGCCTCCAGGATCTGCCTCAGTGAAGTTCACTATGAACAAGTTAGATGAGCAGCCATGGTGGACGTCTGGCATACTCAGTCCTGTCTCAGAGCTGGAGTGGGCTAGTTATTCTCTTCAGGTCCTTTCTAGCCCTATGCTTATGAGTTTATCAGTTGGCTTCACTGAAAAGAACAAAAGGATCGTCTCAAATTTTTCTGTCCAGCACTTGCAATTAAAGCGACAAAGGAAAAAAATAAAATCCTTCCTTCTTTTCCCCAACCTTCGCACCTCACAGCTGAGGAGTTCCCAGCCCTCAGAGTTAGCCCTTCTAACACTGATGGAAGTGACGGGAAACACAGTACTCTTGAAACGCTTCACGGGTAGCAGCTGGAGTGAGGACTGTCAGTGCAGGACAGCCTTGTGTGGGCAGAGTGAAGTACTTCACAGCTCACTGAACGCTCACAGGAGTGCAGCCCATGCCATGGGCAAGGCGTGATAAGGTCAGCGTACAATACATGGCATGACTTCTTCATCCAATGAAAAGTTTACACAAAAATGGCCATTGTGCCCAGTCACTCTCCCGGACCTCCACCACACTGGCTTGTCTAGCAGCCTCCAGTACTGGCTAACTACTTCCAGCTGTGGCAAAAGAAGAACTACGAACAGCGGAGTCTCCCCATCCCTCAGCGCAGAACCCCTTGTTAAGCCTTTCAGTTCACCCTTTCATACACTGTCCCCTTACCCTCCCTCCCCTCAATTTAAAAAATAATGGTTATAATTAATGCATGGAAGGTGATGGCATTGTGCATGTGGTTCACTTCCAGTTCCCTTCCCCTCTTCTCAGGCATTCTCCTTCCTCCTCTCCAACATCCCCCCCCCAAATCCATTCCATCAGTCCATCTCGCCTGCATGCCTGGGGGGCTGGTGCTCACTTGCCATAGACACTCTCGTCGCTGTAGGCCACATAGAGAAAATAGTCCTCCTCGTGGTTATCCTGCAAGGGGAGAAAGGGAGAAAGTAACAAACCAAAGCCCTGTAACTTATTACATGTGAAAAAGCCCAACCAAGAGATCATTGTAACAACAAGAGGGCATAACCTCTCTTTCACTGCTTCTCCCCCTTTACATCGAAGCCTTCACTCACTCATACCAAAGAGAGCGTATAGCAACTTCCTCTCTCTGGCCACAGCTCTGCTTCTAAATTCAGGCATGTCACATTCCTGGACACAGTGAATTTACTTGAAGAGCCACAGCCAGAGCGTGCTGCAAATGTGTAACAGAAACAGCTCTGACTGTTGCAGGCTCTGCAGCAGAATCCCAGCGCTGGTATTGCCCTAAGGTCAGCAGGAGAGACTTGGAAGGCTGTAACAAGTCAAAAATCACCTCTCGATACTTCAGTATTTGGTAAATGTGGTTATACTATATTCTATTCTATTCTATTCTATTTATTATATTATATTATATTTTTCAGAACACTTTGACAAGTGGCTGTATTACTAGTCTTGTTTTACATATGGGCAGTAAAGCTGAGATGTTAAGTGATTACACTGACACAAAAGGTCTGCAGAGCACCAGGAACAGAGTCCTGATCTCAGCTCTGGACAGTTAGACGGATCTTCCTCCTACACATCCAGATTTGCAAAACTCCCTGCGTGTGTTAATCTTATATTATCTTCATCAGTCCACATACCCATTGTCCAGTTATTGTCAAAAAGTGGTAGGTCAAACAAGGCTCACAGCACCATACTGGAGCTCTGCTATTAAAACACACTAACACAGCAGAAGGAGAAATCAAGGAGAAATCAATCCAGGCTGCAAACCAGCCATGATATAACGGCTATATAATTGAGGAACATTCCTCTGATGGGCAGAATATGCATGTAAGGTCAATCAAATAACACTGCTCAGTAGAAATGCTGGGCAGCAATGTTCACAGTGTCCTACAAGATCCTCACATATACAGTACAAGCTATGAAAAAGTAATTCCAAACAAAGAATAAATGCTCCTTGACAACGTATTTATAGACAGTTGGTTGCCCAGTGATACTGTGTTCTTTTACTGGCTAAAAGGAAATCTCTTTTGTATAACCAGGAAGGCTAGTGCATATGTTCCACCCTCCACCCCAGACACAGTATTTCCTCTGTAGTACGACCAACATATCACGGCTGAGGCAACTATTCACCACCTGATACGACAACCCTTTCAACTAGCAAACAAACAATTAAAATGATGAGGCTCCCCAAGGTCCTCTTTATAACTGCAGGATGGAACTTCCCTAAACAGATGATGGGATACAGCCCAGGCCAAGGGGGTCCGTGTCCAGGCATCTGTGAGCAAGCTGCACCCACTGCCAGTTGAGTAGTGCTCAGTTGTCCTTCAGCGAGGATATGCATTCTTCCGGACACTCCAACAGAAGGAGGAAGAGAGAGGCCAGGCTTACCTCATACAGCTGGCCCATGGTAGCACTGGTAGGAGGGATGGTGTTATTGACAAAGAAGAACAGGGCATCTTCTGGCCTCAGGTGGATCCGCTTTCGGATTAAGAAGTAGAACTGGCCAACTGAAGAGGAACAGAGAAGAATGCCTTAGATGCAGAAAGAACGTTTTGGTTTGGGGTTTTTTGTTTGTTTTTTTTTACTGTAACCCTGGTTGTTTTCTTTTGGTGGTGGAAGTCACATGCTGTATGTGAAAAGTAGGGAAAAATGAACAATGCAGGAAAGCAAGCAGCAACTTCATGACTGTAACCACATGAGCAGCCAATCCACTTCGACCTGGCAGCTTCTCAGGTACATGCCTCAGGCCATGTACCCTCTAAATCCACACTCCACCTACTACGGTATGAAATGCTCTACTGCGGGGATTGGTGGGAAGACCTCTAACTAACTTAACCTCTAAATCCTATAGATCAAAGACATCTTAGAGAATTTAGCCTTGGTGTAAATGGTCATACCATGCCTGAAAACAAATTCCTGAAAACAAATACCTTACTATTTGCTTGAGCTATGTTGCACAAGAAAGTATTCTGCAATCCATTATATACTGCAAGAAAAACAAATGCTGTTCCTTTAACACATTCATGTTCTCAAATGAAAACAAATGTAATCACACACAAAATGGCCATGACCATTCAGAAAAGGAACTTTGTAGCCATGACTCCAACCACAGGGGTGGAAAACAATGGGACTATTTCAAGAACTTGTCTCTTCCTGCAACAAGAATACAGCCTCTGGCAACTCTGCAGCTAGGTCATCACTGACTGATGACTATACTACTGCCTATGATACACAATTCAGTCATTTTCATCGTGGCTAGAAGCTGTGACACATGCATGTTAGCTAAGTCAATGGGATACCTCAGAAGATCTCAGAGAATTCTGCATGCTGTAATCCAGGCTGTACGGTACATAAATATAACAAGGACAGCCACGTAAACTGGGGTAATGATAAGATGTTGAGCCTGCCTGGATATTTTCTTGGTGCTGATCATAGAATAAAAAGCATGTCTGAGACCTTCTCACTGAAAATCAGGAAGAAAGGAGGTGGACTTTGTTACCTGTGAGGTCAGAAGGCACAAGATACTTCCTTTTGTCTAGGTCGGGTACTCTGGCTTTTGGTGCTTTTTCCACGATCACCTGGAGAGAGAGAGTGACAGAAAGCAAGAAACAACCCATGAGTATCATAAAATGAAATGGACCAGAAAGCATCAGTGGAAAAGGGTATTAATTACCCTTTAGAGAGATGGTGCTACCAGGCCTTTAGAAATTTATTTAATCTACAACAAATACACAACATTGAAGGACAGATAGGTTGAGAAGAAGACTTAAAATCACTGGCAATAGCTGTGCTGGGAGCCCAAGACTGAAGCAGTAAGCACAGTGAGTATAAAATGGAGACTGGAACAGACATAAAAATAAACCATAATAGCCGAGGAAAAAAAAAAAAATCAGGTCACCTTGATGGTCCCAATGCAGGTTAATTTTGTATGAAGGAACTGCCAGGAGGCTAATACATGAACACAAGAAGTAACACAAGTAAGTTGAACTGTTTCCAGGTTACAGTTCCAAACTGCCTAGCAAACTCCCAGTAGTCCCACATCCTAATTTCTACATTGACCAATACCAAGTGCTCTAGAATGAAGCAAAGAATAAAAGAGAAACTACAGCTCATTAGGGAATGTTGTGGGTTTTTTTTAATCCCCAGTTCTTCAGTAGTTATCTTCTACTCTGAAATTCATATCCTTTAAGGTTATTTTCCCTACTTCATATAGTTATGGACATTTCCTTATTCATATAAATATCTAATAACTAAAAACCAGCTACCATCTGGGCAACTGGACCCACAGAGACCTTTGGCACAAGATATTAATCCTCATTATATTCTAATGTCATTACGACATAGAAAAATATGAAGCTCAGCAGCTTTAAGATCAAACAGAGGAAGAGATGTCCTGCTACAGGAAAATTTTTGTTACCAGAGCTAGGCAAAATGTTCACCTCAGAAGCAGGAAGTATTCCAAAGTGACCTGATCTTCCATGAAAGGCCTTGGAAACCTTTCCGAAGGTTGGAGGTATGTTTCCATGCAACTACTGGGATTGTGCAGAAAAACATTGAAGGCGGTTTTTTGGGGTTTTTTTGTGATACGTATTTTTGAACTGGTGAGAGACATATTACATAATTCGATCTACATGGCTTGCTGTTCTGCAGAATCCATTTTGACCAGCTAAACAAGAAGCTAGATTTTCTGAACCTCCTCAACTTTTTAATTGTGTTAGACCCTATAATTGTACATACTCCATGTGAGACACAGTGGGACTAATTTCTAAGGGCTCCATGCTCCCTTAGCTGTTTGGCAACCCAAATCAGCAACTGTATCTGTTGTGTAACAGAAAAGGTTGAACTGCTGTGGACTAAGACTTCTTTGGAAGCAAAATGGTGTTGTCACACCAGTGAGCCACTATGCCAGGGAAAAAAAGTTACGATGATGAGCTTGATGTATTTAGCCTGGACAAAGTGCCACGCTAATTCAACTCGACTCCTTCAAGACCCAAGTGAATATCTGCACAGCATGTCAAACCATAGAGATTCTAGCTTGGACATCTCTTCACTGTGCTCCATTTGGATGCTGCAAACACAGCCAAAACCCCTAAAAATTCTAAGTTTGCTTTTAAAATAGAAACATAAGTCATCACTGCTACTTCAAGAACTTCAAGCACCTCATTTAGTACAGGGCATTCAAGCTCTTTCAGGCAGTTTGTGGTAGGACGTGCATTTCCATACAAGCTGCAGTTGGTACGTGCTGTGAAGGAAGGACAGTTCCACAGTCTCCCTGAACAGGTGCAAGCTGAACAGCAACAGCACTTTGCACATTTTTTTACCCGCACATCCAACAAGGCAGTATCTAACACGATAAATTGCAGTGGAGAGAAACCTTTAGTTCTTGCCTCCAATTTCAAAAACTACTGACAGGCAGAACTGCTAGCTAGCAGCTCTGATGTGACCACCCTTTCTCAAAAGGGTGGCTTGTACTTGATTGTTAGACAATACAGGAAAAGAAGTCATGCCTATGAGGAAGAGGTGACTGTTGGGGCTTCTAGGCCCCTAGGAAAGATTTAAGAGAAGAAAGATCATCACTGAGCTTAAGAGAGATATCCCTCTTGCAAACAGGCAGGGAAGGAATGGAAGCGCTCTGCTAATCTGACAATCAACTGTAGTCAGTTTGCCTGACACCACAGGTATCTCTTCTGAAGCACTAAACCTTTCACATACACAAACAAACCTTCAAAGAAAATCCAAAGGGCAGACACAGATTATCTCTATGTCTGTTGTTGCTGGGTGGTGACTGTGGTAATGTGGGACCATGCCAACAGTACAATCTCAGCAAAATGCTGAGATGTATCAGGGCACTGCAGTGTAGGCAGCCAAACGGACGTCATCTTCAAGGATCCTGCTGTCGGGAAGGGCAGAGACAAAAGTGATGTAAAGAACAGTAGTCTGCTGCATTCATTTGCTCCATATGCAGCTCTGACAACAGGCTGCCCCTGACAATTCACACCTGGGCCTCGCCATGCGTCGTTTTCACAGCATGCCTTGTTATTCTGGTCCTGGCTTTCTCCATAAAGATCTGCTGATGCCCCCCTATCCTGAGCTCTTTTACCTCTTGCCAGACCAGGTCTGGTCCCGGGCTCCCCACACGGCTCTTCCAGACACATTTATCATGATCTTCTGTACAATCTGCCACGTTAATCCTCAGTTTACAGCTTGTCTCACTCCTGACCTACAGAGCCCTCTGTGGTCCTCATCATAAGCCACAGAACTGCATACCCTTCACCATTGACTCGCTGTGTGCTCAACCTGCTGTGCTATGCCAGGGGTCCCAAAAACGGCTAGGACAAATGCACCCAAATACAGACTTCCAAAAACTTTGGCAATTCCAGTTGAAGGCCACTCCCAAGATAAAAAATGGTGTTAGCCTGCAGGGAAAACGTGGTGTAACTGTCCCCCCTTGCCCTTATATCTACAGGGGAGTCTAAGTTATTTTGCATGCAGTACCCCTGGGCAGTAAATCTAGGGCAGATCTCTCCAGTGGGGATAGAAAGAAAGAACATATGCAAAACGTTTATTAAAAAGGAACCAAAAAAAAGTAATTTGATTTGTCATTTCTTTTTTCCAATTATGATTAGTAATTATAAAGCTAAAAGTTTTCCACAGGCACTCCAAAGGGACCTAAGGATGAGGAAGCAAAGTTTAGCTAGAAGACGACCTTGTTTTCCAAGTGACGTTTTTTCCACAGGATGATTACACAGGAAGGCAGAAAGACTGAGAAGTATCATTTTTCTCTCATGCAAAGGAAAAGAACAAGAGCAAGACTACATCAAAAAGACAGGCCAAAAGAAAGCGAAATAAAAATAAAGGGAAAGTATCAGACAGCACGGATACAGACCTTGTTTGCTACGAAGAGTACCCGGTTAACTCACTCATTGTTCTCCTCCATTTTTACAGAGCTAATGGTAAGCTCCTTCCCCAACCCCCAACCCCAGGCACGCAGGCTGCCAGGAAAAGATTTTCGCTGTTGAATTACTGCGGATCCCAGAAAAAAGGGTGTATTACACCCCTGCGCCCCCGCACCCACCCACCAACACAGACCTTCCACCATAATAAACAGCCATAGAGAAAAAAAAAAAAAAAAAACACCGGAAAGGGAACCAAAAAACAAAA